GTAGGGCTCTGGGCATAATCCCAGCAAATCATCTGGAAGGGGTTTATCTCAATTGCAGGCTTAACAGAGCTGCTACACTCACTGCCCTCGTCCTGCAGTGCCAACACAGGGTTAGATGTGTTGCCCATGCATCCTCTCCAGTGTGTCTTGCACAGGGTGTCTGCCACGCTGATTTTCTGTGGGCACGCAGGGCAGGTCTGCAAGCTGGACTGCCTCCTGTGCTCCTTGCGGCTGGGCTCCGAGGGGTTTGAGCCACATCAGTGCTCTGAATGCTCACGCCTCTTGTGTCCGTGCCTCAGATCAACAATGATGAGCAAGCCTAATCCCACAAGAAGGTGTTGGGGTAGAGGGGCTGGGCGGTGCGTGAAAAAGTGCTGTTTTCTGGGACCTCACGGAAGAGCAGCGTCCAGAGCATCAACAGGGTAATGCTGTTGCATGTCTGTTCTCTCTGCACAGCCACAACGACTTTGTCGCTATCCTGGACCTCCCAGAAGGAGAGCACCAGTACAAATTTTTTGTGGATGGCCAGTGGGTCCATGACCCATCTGAGGTAACACTCAAAGTTTTATCCCTGCAGATCTTGTCTCTTCAGGGGACTAGACATGATGTAACTGCAGCAGAGGGGGAACAGGAAGAGCAGAGGGTATTTGCCAAAACAAATGGAGCACCTCTGTCCCATGAGTCCTTTCAGAGGCTGGTTCCTCTGGGCTTACACATGCTTTTGGGGCAGTGTCAGGGAGGTAACGAGGGGCAGGGAAACACCAGAAGGCTTTTAAGCCCCAATTGGAATTGGCTACATGGGAAGATGGGCCATGGGGTTAGCACTCACTTGCAGGTTCTCCTCCAAACTGAATCATACAGTAGCAGCATGGGAAAGAGAGGATGCTTACCCATCAGCATGTAGCAGGATAGAGGATGAAAACAGGAGGCGATGTAGAAGCCTGGGAGTAAAGGGAAATCATCCCAGGGTAAACAGCAGAGATCTGCAAGCATAGAGGAGTGCTGGATGCTCCACCTGTGCTCTGAGTTAATGGCACAGCAAAGAGAGCTGGGTCTGGGAGGATCTAGGAAGCATGGCCTGTGCTTTGATCGGAGGTAAACATAGGAAGACTCTTACCTCAGTTCTCTCCAGCCTGTGGTCACCAGCCAGATGGGGACAATTAACAACCTGATTCACGTCAAGAAGTCTGACTTTGAGGTGTTCGACGCTTTGAAGGTGGATTCCCTGGAGAGCTCAGAAACCTCAGGTCGGGGTGAGTTTTTGTGGCATTGCAGCTTTGCATGTGCTATTTTCCACCTCCTCTGCTCTGAGACTCGCTGCTCTGGGGGTGAACAAACCCCCCGAGCAGAGGTGTGGGCCTGCACCCAGGAAGAGTAGTGTTTGGCAGCGTGTCCTCAGCAGCCCACAGCTGAGGCCTTGTGCTGGTGTAACTTGTTCTGTGCTAGCACCGTCCCAGAGCAGGGTCATTTCAGACTGGTGTACGCCGGGAACATCACCCCTTTCTGTCTGTTCAGCTGTGAGTAAGTCATCTGATCTGGGCAAGAGTAGGATCCAGGTTATTTTCAGCAGCTACTCTCGGTTTCCACGCCAAGGTAATTTGTACTGGTGCTAGCACATCAGAAACCTCCCTCTCCACTTGTGTTACAGCAGCAGGTTGTGTTACCACACAGACGTGGGCAGTGCTGGCTCGGTGTGTAAGGCTGGCAGGTAGCTCAGTTGTGTTTTGGTCCAGGGCGCTCTGAGTGCAGCCTGCCATCCCTGGTACAAACCCCATCTCAGATAGAGCTCAGCTCCACGTCCTCACCCAGCCTGCGCAGGAGATACTTCGTTGTAAAGAAGCCATCAAGCAGCAGCAGCTCCATGAAGATGGAGCCCTTCCAATTGCTGACTGTTCCAAAATGATCAGGTCAGATGTGGCTGGGATGTATGGCCAGTCCAGCTTCCCGTGACCATGAGCTCCTGTGGTCCCTCACAGAGGCTGAGCAGCTGCTCAATCTGGACTTCCCATCTGCCCTTTCTGGGACCTCCTTGTCAGGCAGTTCTGCAGCATCAGGAGTGTGCAGGCGTGCTGCTTGCTGGGCCCGTGCCCCCTCTGCAAAGGGTACAGCTCTGGGGCAAGCCGGCTCCTTGCTGCAGGGGGAGGGACCCAGCTGTGCTGAGAGCTGTGCGCAGGGGTCTTGGGGTGGATACCACAGGGTGCTTGTGTTGTATCAGTGCACGTACCTCCTTACAGCCCTGCTTGGAAATGCCTAGGGCTCGCCTGGCTGCTTATTCCACTGTGAAAAGGCTGAGCTGTTGCTGTAGGATACATGCCCGTGGCTCACGGAAGATGTTTGTGCCTGAAAGACCCTGCTGGGTGCTTCTCAGCATCTTGGAAGCTGCTCTGTGCTTGCCAGTCCTGCTTTAGCCGTTTCACATCTCCTCCCATCTCTTCTCTTTAGACTTATCAAGCTCACCACCTGGTCCTTATGGCCAAGAGATGTACGTATACCGGCCCGAGGAGCGCTTCAAATCCCCACCTATCCTCCCGCCTCACCTCCTCCAGGTCATCCTCAACAAGGACACCAATATCTCGGTGGGTACCAGCATACTGCCTGCATACGGAGGGCCACGCTGGGGTTGGAAAGGGGAGTCCTGTCTGCAGGCAGCCTGGTCTCCCCTTGGCCGGGGCCTGGCCCTTGGCATTTCCTGGGGAAAGCATCACTTTGGCCCCTTGCTTTGCCTGGTGCTTAGCAGAGCTCTGTTCCTGCTCAGAACAGCCAGAAACACCAGCAGCTCAGATTGCCTGAGGTGGCAGCTCCTGTGATGGCTGGGGCTGGGGGGGTCAGGGCTCTGCTGTTCCACTGTGACACTCCTCTTCTCCTAGTGTGACCCAGCACTGCTGCCCGAACCCAACCACGTCATGCTCAATCACCTCTACGCGCTCTCCATCAAGGTAAGGGCAGGTCCCACGAGGCCGCTGGGTGAGGGAAGGGGAGCTGCCGTGGCTCCCAGGAGCCTGCAGCACCTGCAGGGAGCAGAACCTGGACAGCTGGGGGGTGGAGATGGTGGTGCAGGGATGGGAGGACCCATGTGAGGACAGCTTGGCTGCCTGGTGGCACACACAGGGGTGTAGGTTATGGTCTCCTCACAGACCCCAGTTCCCTGTAGCTGCCTCCCCATGGCGTGGAGAGCTGGGCAGCCCTGGGCTCTCCTGTTGCCTACCAGACCCTTCTGTCACTCTGCCCTGGCTCCTTGTTGTGGGTGTTGGACGTGTCTTGCTGGCTGTGATGCTCGAGACACCAGGGACAGTCTAGGGCTGCTCCCCTCGATGGCTGCCTTGAGGGTGCCCTGCTCTGGGGGGAAGGAGCTCTCCTACCTGCTCCCGCTGACGCTGTGCCTCTCACAGGATGGTGTGATGGTGCTCAGTGCCACGCACCGCTACAAGAAGAAGTACGTCACCACGCTGCTGTACAAGCCCATCTGAGCCGGGGCCTCACCCGCCCCCCACGCAGGACACAAAACGCCGCTTTGTGTGCACACACTGGGCCACAGGACTGTGTGAGAACTGGCCACCGGCTCCAGCCTCAAACCTGGCAGGGACACAGGCCCCGGCGATGTGCCCAGGGCCACTGGGGCCTGTGACACTGTCCCATCCTACTGGTGTGGTTTGATTTAACCCTTGGTTTCCGCCCACCTACAGCTCCCCTTGGCTTCTGTGAGTCCCTGGGGCCACTTTCTTTGCTGCTCACCAGAATAGCCTTTCCTCATGCCCAACGTGGAAAGGGCTTCCTCCACCCATCTTCTCCAGCCTGCAAGGGCCCTAAGGCGGTCCTGGCACTGCCCCCAGCTCAGGTCTCCAGGAACGTGTCCTACCTGTTGAAGGTTGCTGTGCTGTCCTGGTGATGAGCCTCCAAGGCCACCTTGGTCCCTAGGGGCTCTGGGACACCCCATCCTGCCACCTGTCCAACAGCCCTGGCTATGGGGCTGCCCCCATCCTTGTGCTCCTCAGCTTTGAGGAGGGCTCTCGGCTCTGGCTGCCACCCCAGCCCTCGGCCAGGTTCA